AACAAAGAAAAATTCGGTTAGTAATAAATTTTTAAAATTCGTGGAATCAACATACTTTATCCTTGCTACCCCTAGTAAGCTACCATTTACCAATGTTACTGTAAGGAAAAAGTTGGGCGTCTAGTCAAAAGAAAGCTACTCACGAAAAATCAGCTTGTTAGTAATAAATGATGAAAAGTGTACCAGGGATCCTGTACTATAACTACGGAATTCCAAACATAAAATAAAATCCAGTAAAACAAAATTATATCTAGCTTTAATACCTTCTTTATTATCTCTTCTTTCTTGATATTTAAACGACTTAATCTAATGAAATACGCCTCTAACTGTCCCTCTAACACATAAATATTAATTGTATTATTTACGTTTAGCACGGAGACCTCATAAAACGACATCAAGATCTGTGTCATGAAATCTGAGTGACGTTAATTCATGATCAGTGCCTAGAGCGCCCAGATAGAGGACGCTTGACAAGACAACCTGTCACATCAGCTGTCTGTGTAATGACAATTTTGTTTCTGAATTTCTGGAAATTCTAGTATGATTTTTTTTAACCGTAGATAGGCAGACTCGCTCCCATATTGGCGTTAAGTCGATCCTCCCGCGCTCGCTAATATCGAAGCATCAGTGTGCCGAATCTCACTGACGGGACACGCGCCGATCGTTATCGCGTCCGTTTATCTTCCACCGGATAAGATCGTTCTAAGCAGTGATATCGAGGCGCTGCTCGGCATGGGGAGCTCTGTCATTCTGGCGGGCGACCTAAATTGTAAACACATCAGGTGGAACTTACACACCACAACTGCGAATGGCAGGCGGCTTGACGCGTTAGTCGATGATCTCGCCTTCGATGTCGTCGCTCCGCTAACCCCGACTCACTACCCGCTAAATATCGCGCATCGCCCGGATATACTCGACATAGCGTTATTAAAAAACGTAACTATGCGCTTACACTCGATCGAAGTAGTTTCAGTTAGATTCAGACCACCGTCCCGTCGTTATGAAGCTCGGTCGCGCTCCCGATTCCGTTCCCGTCACGAGGACTGTGGTGGATTGGCACACGCTGGGCATCAGCCTGGCCGAATCTGATCCACCATCGCTCCTGTTTAGCCCGGACTCTACCCCGTCTCCTCAGGATACCGCTGAAGCCATAGACATCTTAACGTCACATCACCTCGACATTAGATAGGTCATCGAAACAAGTTGTAGCGGAGGACTTCCTTCACCGCTTTAAATTGTCCGACGATATTAGGGAACTCCTTAGAGCTAAGAACGCCTCGATACGCGCCTACGACAGGTATCCTACCGCGGAAAATCGTATTCGAATGCGTGCCCTACAACGCGACGTAAAGTCTCGCATCGCCGAAGTCCGAGATGCCAGATGGTCTGATTTCTTAGAAGGACTCGCGCCCTCCCAAAGGTCTTACTACCGCTTAGCTCGTACTCTCAAATCGGATACGGTAGTAACTATGCCCCCCCTCGTAGGCCCCTCAGGCCGACTCGCGGCGTTCGATGATGACGAAAAAGCAGAGCTGCTGGCCGATACATTGCAAACCCAGTGCACGCCCAGCACTCAATCCGTGGACCCTGTTCATGTAGAATTAGTAGACAGTGAGGTAGAACGCAGAGCCTCCTTGCCACCCTCGGATGCGTTACCACCCGTCACCCCGATGGAAGTTAAAGACTTGATCAAAGACCTACGTCCTCGCAAGGCTCCCGGTTCCGACGGTATATCCAACCGCGTTATTAAACTTCTACCCGTCCAACTCATCGTGATGTTGGCATCTATTTTCAATGCCGCTATGGCGAACTGTATCTTTCCCGCGGTGTGGAAAGAAGCGGACGTTATCGGCATACATAAACCCGGTAAACCAAAAAATCATCCGACGAGCTATCGCCCGATTAGCCTCCTCATGTCTCTAGGCAAACTGTATGAGCGTCTGCTCTACAAACGCCTCAGAGACTTCGTCTCATCAAAGGGCATTCTCATCGATGAACAATTCGGATTCCGTACAAATCACTCATGCGTTCAACAGGTGCACCGCCTCACGGAGCACATTCTTGTGGGACTTAATCGACCAAAACCGTTATACACGGGAGCTCTTTTCTTCGACGTCGCAAAAGCGTTCGACAAAGTCTGGCACAACGGTTTGATCATCATACGGGACTTCTTGTCGAACCGCTCTTTTCCATATCGAGTCGAGGGAACCCGCTCCTCCCCACTACCTCTCACAGCTGGAGTCCCGCAAGGCTGTCCTCTCACCCCTCCTATTTAGCTTATTCGTTAACGATATTCCCGGTCGCCGTCGACCCATTTAGCTTTATTCGCCGACGACACGACTGGTTACTATTCCAGCTGAAACAAGTCCCTAATCGCGAAGAAGCTTCAGAGCGCAGCCCTAGCCCTAGGACAGTGGTTCCGAAAATGGCGCATAGACATCAACCCAGCGAAAAGTACTGCGGTGCTATTTCAGAAGGGAAGCTCCACACGGATTTCCTCCCGAAAAAATTACTCTCTTTAGACAACCCATACCCTGGGCCAGGAAGGTCAAGTACCTGGGCGTTACCCTGGATGCATCGATGACATTCCGCCCGCATATAAAATCAGTCCGTGACCGTGCCGCGTTTATTCTCGGTAGACTCTACCCCATGATCTGTAAGCGGAGTAAAATGTCCCTTCGGAACAAGGTGACACTTTACAAAACTTGCATAAGGCCCGTCATGACTTACGCGAGTGTGGTGTTCGCTCACGCGGCCCGCACACACATAGACACCCTCCAATCTCTACAATCCCGCTTTTGCAGGTTAGCCGTCGGAGCTCCGTGGTTCGTGAGGAACGTTGACCTACACGACGACCTGGGCCTCGAATCTATCCAGAAATACATGAAGTCAGCGTCGGAACGGTACTTCGATAAGGCTTTGCGTCATGATAATCGCCTTATCGTTGCCGCCGCTGACTACTCCCCGAATCCTGATCACGCAGGAGCCAGTCACCGTCGACGCCCTAGACACGTCCTTACGGATCCATCAGATCGAATAACCTTTGCATTAGACGCCTTCAGCTCTAACACTAGGAGCAGGCTTAGGGACCTCGGTAACCGTACTCGTCGAACTCGACAAAGAGTTCGCCGTGCAACCTAACCCATGAATCAGCCCGCTGAGTTTCTCGCCGGATCTTCTCAGCGGGTCGCGATTCCGATCCGGTAGTAGATTCATTCGCGAAGCAATTGCTCTTGAGTTGTTAGGTCTCCTTCGGAGGCGCTCGGGCAGTTGTTAGCAAATCCCGCCCCTCTTGGCTGAGCCTTTGCTCGCCCACCTGTCCTGGAGAAATATTAACGCTTCCCGGGAACTGTTAGTATCTCCTGAACCTTCTGAGCACCAATTGAGCGGCTCCGAATAGGGTCCTTATTTCACGTGAAAGTGGCATTTTTGGATCAACTTGTAATTAACACCACGTACGAAACAATAGGAGCTATATTTTTGCATGGTGTTGGATGGTTTTGTATGGTGTGGGAACGTTTGCCGCTAGGGGCGCTGTTCCAACTCCATACAAATTTGAGTTAACGTTTACGCTATCGAGAACGTTAAAAACTCGTACTAAGCACAAATAACTCATTCAAGGCACATATGAGGCCGTCAGCGCAAAAGTGGCCTAAGCTTACCATAGTTATTATGGAGCAATGAGGTTTAAGTTTTCATGAATTGAATTTGATTAGGCCAAAAAACAATACGCACAAAATAATGTTTACAGAGCCATCTGTTATTTATGGGTGAAACTATGGATAGACCGGTTTTGCATCAAAATTTATTATATTTTAAACTAGCTGACTCGGCAGACTTCGTAGTGCCTCAATCGATAAATAAAAGACCTAAACTTTTGTATAAAATAAACTTGAAACAAACAAAAGGAATCCGTCCGACGGAGGACACATCAAAAAAAAAAACAAAATTGTTATTTTCATTTAATTCCGAGCATTTTCATATTTATCTACCTTTTGAACCTTCTCTGGACTTCCACGAATAATTCAAGACCAAAATTAACCAAATCGGTCCAGCCGTTCTCGAGTTTTAGCGAAACTAACGAACAGCAATTCATTTTTATATATAGAGATAAATAAATAGATAAATTATAAGCACGATTGTGAAAAATTGCGGGTTAGGCCACCTTTACGCTGACGGCCCGTGATGATGTGATCCCGAAATGTTAAGTGAGGAAAGTGAACGAACCCCCGCGCCGCACGAGGTCATTGCACCCGACTGATCAAATGATTATTGTCCTCCATTGCGTGCAGCACAAAAATCATTAGTAAAATATCTGCTAGAACTTGATGTTATTCTCTGAAACGCCCGTGCTAATACTGCGTTGGTAAAAGCGACAATGGTCTCAATTGTTCCCTTGATGTTGTTAATGTCAGTGACCAACAGCGACCATTCACCATCAGTTCGGCTAACTCTTCGTAAGACGGTAAGCAGTATAAAACCTGGTTTCAAATATAGTGATATATTAAAATCTGCTGAATTACAAAGGAGACTAAAACAAACAATCCTCTTTTATTTTTTTATTAAGCTACTGCAAACCTTTTATCGCGGGCTTTGAACGCGGCCACCGATTTAAGAAATTTCGTAACGAAAATAAAACCTAACACCCCCACTCCGCTTACCATGTAGCTCGCGTTCAACACATTCACACGTTGCGCTTGTTTAGTGTTTGTGAATAAGCACGCGGCGTGACGTCGCACTGCTGCATGCATATCATGAAAAGTCTGCCCATCTCTCTCTCGCGCGGTCTAGCTCATGAGTGTGAAGGGGACAGTTAATGTTTTGCTTTTGTTAATGTTTATAATTATAGCGTAGTCTTATTATTCTTTTAATATTAATTGTCTAATTATAATTGCATAAGTTAATAAAAAATGCTATGCAATAGCTTTACCGCGGCAGTCCCCGAGGGCCACACGTGCTTTTCTTTTTAAAAATCACAAAGGAGACTGAAACGAACAATCCTCTTTAAATTTTTTATTTCGTTTTAAAAAACTATAATTTATTATGTACACAATTATTACAATAACTTGGAACATTTTCTTAAACACAGTCTCGACTTGAATCATCAATTTTATATTCTCACAACTTACGTTTATAAATATTCGTTTAAATCACGGACCCTTTGTTTGGGTCCCACATTTCTGAGGCGGTGTGGGGTTTTTATATTCAATTTCAAAAATATATATCTTCGTAACGGGAACCTCACACCTCAGCCGGCCGTCGCTGGCTGCGAGCTCGCGACTTTACTTTTACCTGATTGTTCCAAGAATTAATCAATGTTATTCTTGACTGCGAGCAGTCCGGCACCGGACCTGCCCTCACCACTCACGGAAATACCATGGATTGAGTCTCATTGAAGGTCATGAAGGGCCTCATCCGAGGTCATGAAGCTTGCACCTGCCGTGCCAGGGCGGGGCTGAGGCGCCAGGTGCGGGCCGGACACACTAGTGTAGTGTAGTGTGCGGGCGGGCTCTGTGAGCGCGGACGTCTAGTCCGAATGTATCTGGTCGGCGACCTGCTGCCACTTGGCGACCAGGCTCGACACGGTCCTTTGTTTCATGCCGATCGACGAGGATATTTTTACCTGCGAATAACAGACTGAATTAATCTAAGGTAAAAATGTAAAAACTGAGACCTTAGGTGGCGGTATTTACGTTGTCTATGGGATCCGGTAATCACTTCACACTAGGTGGAGGTCGTGAGTTGGTCTACCCAACAAAGCGATAAAAAAAATCGATTTTTTTTTTGTCAAACGATTTTTGTTGTTTACGGCTAGCGCGCTGACAATGATAGAGTCAGCGCCGCGACACTTCCGAAGATCCTCGTCAAGCTTAGTGGGAGACATTAACATTATAACAAGGTTGAGTTCCAGGGTTAGGGGGGCGGATTGCACCCGACGCCAAGAGCACAGGGGGGCGGGGGGGTCGTCTGTCCACGCGGCCGACAGATCGTCACTAGTACCAGGCGCATCAACACAAGCAAGAACACAGTGAACCATAACTTACACTAGTTCAGTATCGAAGGTTTTTAATACGCTTTTATTAGCTTCAGACGTATGTATGTTAGTATGTAACGGAATCTTTGAACATGATTTTGACACTCTTCAAAACGTCGAATTAACTCGAAATTTGGTATACTTATTAAGGACTTTTATTGTAAAAAAAAGCGTGGGACGCATGGTACCAGTAGCTATAAATATTTTATGAACAGATATGAGTAGAAGAGTTATTTTGATAATATCCTGAAAAGCACCCCACGCTTTTTTAACAATAAAAGCAATTTTTCTTACACTATTTTAAATTCAAATTTATTAAAATTTATTTTCTATTTTTTATTTGGATTTTCTATAAAAGCGTATTTTGTTAGTTTTTTTAAACTATTATTTATTAAATTTTACTTAAGCACATTGTTGATGCCCACGGGCAACGGTTCGACATCAGACAGGTCGCAAGTTCGTTAAGCACCGAAAGAAAAAAACTACCTTAGATTTCTTCTTGGTAACTTTGGTTTCTCTCTCCCGGTCGGCGTCCCGTGGCGCCCGGGGCGGCTCTGGGGAGGCGGGCGCGGAGACGGGCGCGGAGGCGGGGGCGGAAGCGGGCGCGGAGGCGGACGCGGAGAGGGGCACAGAGGGGGGCGCGGGTGCGGGCGGGGGGGCGGCGCGCGGCGGCTCGTGCTTCTCTAGTTCGGCGATGTCGTTGTAGAATGACGTCAGCTCGTCGCCGATCTCGCGTTTCTCTTCCTGAGCGAAACAAAACACACATGTACGTGTTCCTTCCGGGGGACGGGAATCAAGTATCGTGTGACGTCATCAAATATAACCCTCTGAAGTTAGTTAGCGTTTCATAAGGTAACGTGCCAATGCAAGGAGTATTTTGTTCACAATCTAAAATTGACAATGTTATAGACTGCTAGACAACTATACTCCGCGCGCGAGCTCCGAGGATTCGGGGGCTGAGGAAGCGGGCGGGCGTGCACCGCGCCCGACCGTCGCTTCATACCCCGCACTTTCCCAGTACTAGTGTTGACCTTAACGTGAGAGTACGCTTGCCGACTCGTTGTTTTTAATTTTGCGATAGCAATGTTAATTACGTGTGATTTCTAATATAAATAGTCTTACACTTATGTCTTTTTGTTTGCACAAATAGCTATTTAATTTGATGAAAAAGGAATGGCGAGCACTAGCATAATGAACATGTCTTAGCATTAGAGGAATATTACTGGCAAAAGGATGGCTTAATGGAGGATGTTGTCGAATCATTTATTATTGAAGTATGTGAGGAGAGTGACATCAAGAGGCGAGTCCATCAAATTCTTCAACTACTGATTAATCTGATTGCGAGAGTAATTAATAAGATTTCACGTTCATTTTGTTCAATAAAAATCAGTTCATTAAATGAAATTCATACGTGATCAATGGTTTTTTTTATTTATGTCAAGTACATAATACCCTCATAAAACTATTTTATAATTTACACTCGCACGGAGGCTTAAGATGTGTTAGTATCGATAGCACAATATCGACTAATCACAACACTAGCTCATTACGTCAACATTCCTTAAAAATCCTCGGAGCTCGCGCGCGGACAGTAGTAGAGTCTGGTCCTGAGTTCTTCAGTTTTTTTTTATTTTTTATTTTGAGTACTGACCAGAAACATTTGGATTGGGTTTGCAGTATCGTACATCTCAAAGGACAGAAAACAGAGTAGCACCAATCGAGATTTTTAAGCTGTAATATAGAACTTTGAGGTTTTATTATATTATCAAATAATTTAAGGAATTTCCCATTGTCAATAGGGAAGCCCACCTTCAAAGACTATAAAAGCATCGGTTGGTCTCGAACGACTAGAAACTTTAGGAGTTTTAGCAGAATTAATTACTTCCAGTGAATTTACATATTCAATATTCATTTTAAAGGTAAGAATTGGGGAGAAGAATGTTTTTTTTAAATCAAAATGTTATGCCGTTTTATATGTCAATATAGAGTACAAATTAAGATTTATCCATCACCGCTATTACAGTGCGAGACAGCGAAGTGTTGCTTGTAGACATTCCCCCTTCTACATAATTTAAAAAAAAAACGACGAATTAATTACCCTAACAAAATTAATAGAACTAGTGGTCCCCTAGTAGTCGAAATTCTACTATAATTAATTGAAATTATAAGTTTGTACACTATTATGATTCTATAAAGATACTTCTATAATCACAGATTTCGCCAAGATTACAATTTAGATAATAAAGATATAAAATATTACTCTATTCTCAATTTGACCACAGACTATAAGCAATAAGAAAAGTTTGATAATAAACAAATAGTATAGATTCGTGTGTGTGTGTGTGTCAAATACATGGTAGTGTGTGTAATAGCTTTTTTATTGATTTAATGTATTTTTTATGCATAATTAAAAACAAAATAACATTCTGCACTCCTTCTCTATTCTTCTCTGTAAGTGTGGGAAACTTCATACTACCCAGTCCGCGCAATTTTCGTAAAAAAGGTACCCCTAAAGTTTTTGCTTCACGTATTAATATATAGATGGAAGTATGTTGAGTTCGGGATGCAGTGTCGGTGCACGTGTACTCACAGCGAGCGCGGGGTGCTCGTCGCAGCCGGGCGGGGGCGGGTCGGGCCAGCGCGGGGGCGGCGGCGGGGCCGGCGGGCTGCGGGGGGGCGCGCTCTCCTGCGGGACACACGCGCTCAGTGCGGCTGCTTGTCTACTACCCACTTACACCAGCCATTGTACCAAAGGAATTGGTATCGATCTTGGATTGGTAGACACCGACACGTCTATAAGCGACGGTAACCACTACCATTACCATTGAGCCAATTTTTTGTATCTATGATATCGACAGCACAATTTGAAGACTCAAGGAGCTCATTTATGTCATGGATAAAATATTCGTTATTTTTTAGGCTTCAGGTACGAGATGTTGACCTAAATTTTCAAGTATATTTACGTAAATACTCTTCTTACTACTACTGGTGGTAGGACCTCTTGTGAGTCCGCGCGGGTAGGTACCACCACCCTGCCTATTTTTGCCGTGAAGCAGTAATGCGTTTCGGTTTGAAGGGTGGAGCAGCCGTTGTAACTATACTGAGACTTAAAACTCATAACTCAAAGTGGGTGGCGGCATTTACGGTTTAGATGTTTATAGGCTCCGGTAACCATTTAACACTAAGTGAGTTGTGAACTCGTCCACCCCACTATGCAATAAAAGAAAAGCTCCTTTAGAGATGTTTGATATTCGATGTCGCATTTCGTTCTTGTCTCGCAAGCGCGTTGTCGGACAACTTGTTAGTTGGGGCTGATTACCTTTCCTTCGAAGCCGGGGTGCGGAGGCGTGGTAGAGATGTCCATGTCGGTGGTGGCCACGGCGGGGTACTCCCACTGTACCAGTCCGTCCGAGTCGCGGACGTACCGGTACCGACCCTCGGCCCTGCGTGCACAGACAACGACAACCATACAAACACGTGTCATTCGTTACATGGAACTTGATGATTTTCAAAAGTCAACTCATAACTTAGCAACTTATACCTTCAAATACGCGGCTCGATTATTTAATTTTTACATAAAACACAATATCACTATTCGTATGCAGAAAAATCGATTGCAGATTAATCGATTTAAACGTCCGAGTATCGATGTGATAATCGATTTCGTGGTATCGATACACGATTGTAATACTTGACAGTCCCCTTGGCGGCCGAGCTACCCGTTGCGCGTCTGGAAACTTCTGAAAAAGATCAAAGCGCATTTATCTCGAATATAAACAATAATCGATTTAATTAAAAGCGTGTGTTCTCTCACCAGTTCACGGGCGCAGCGCCTCCGAGATATCTCGCTCCCGAGTGTTCGGTCTTCCATCTTCGTTCTTACAGCTAAATGTTAGACTGTGTATGGGTTTTTGCTCAATCTTTCATGGGTTAATTTGTATTTCTTGTTTTTATTAAAGAAACTTCAATGAACGGTTCCATAAATTTTATTATTCTATAATTAATATCACAGTTTGCATCACAGAGTTTTAGCTTCGAGAGTTTATATATCGAAATACTTTGAATAAAACGACTCGATATATTAATAAAACGACTAGATATATTTATTACGTATGACATCTAAATATGTGTTAAATAAGATGTGTTCAAAAATATAAGTTTCTATTGTTTATTCAAAATATTTCTCGCGAACCAACCACAATAGTTAACAAGTTGTTGAAGATCTGAGGTCAGTATGCGCGGACTCAATGATCGAGAACAGACCGTGTCCCGAGAGAAGGGGCCGCGGACCGACCCTAGCTCCAGCGGACGTCGCGCTTGCAACGAATGGGATTCTTTAATTGTGTATCTAGTTTAGTGAGACAATGGACCACAGCGAATAGGGCAAGTTACAGTTTCAAAATTACACGAGTGAGACGATTTCGTTAGAATTAGCTTAGGTTAGTGATCCGTCATTGGGAGAGAGCCTCGGCCGAGCACCGCCGGGAGGGGGAGGGTGTCGGACGCGAGAGCTACGCGTCGACGAGAGGGGGTCAGGTGTGGAGCCGCGTGTCGACGGGAGGGGGTCAGGCGTGGAGCCGCGTGCCGACGGGAGGGGGTCAGGCGTGGAGCCGCGTGTCGACGGGAGGGGGTCAGGCGTGGAGCCGCGTGTCGACGGGAGGGGGTCAGGTGTGGAGCCGGGCCGCTATATTAATCTTTATGCTACAGACGATAAAACTACGTTTCGACTTCTATTATGAAATGACGTCATTTTCTTGAAATTTTGTAAATCACCATTTGTGGCGAGATATTGTAAATGTAATGAATTAGGACATTCAATTATCAAAGTACANAGGGGGAGGGTGTCGGACGCGAGAGCTACGCGTCGACGAGAGGGGGTCAGGTGTGGAGCCGCGTGTCGACGGGAGGGGGTCAGGCGTGGAGCCGCGTGTCGACGGGAGGGGGTCAGGCGTGGAGCCGCGTGTCGACGGGAGGGGGTCAGGTGTGGAGCCGCGTGTCGACGGGAGGGGGTCAGGCGTGGAGCCGCGTGCCGACGGGAGGGGGTCAGGTGTGGAGCCGGGCCGCTATATTAATCTTTATGCTACAGACGATAAAACTACGTTTCGACTTCTATTATGAAATGACGTCATTTTCTTGAAATTTTGTAAATCACCATTTGTGGCGAGATATTGTAAATGTAATGAATTAGGACATTCAATTATCAAAGTACACTGATCTCACGACACTCTAACGGCGTTCCGAGATTGAGTGCAAAATTCACATAAGGGGGGGTAAAGAGAACATAGTGTGACAATATTTGTGATAATGTTTTTAAAATTCAATAATTCACTATCAACACTTCTTTAGCACAGTAAAAGTCTATCCTTTCCGGAGCCGACAGGTGTATAGAGCACATGAAGAGACACGGGGGCGCGGCGGGGGGGAGAGTGCGGGGGCGGTACCTCAGGAAGTCGCAGGTCCAGCCGGGCGGCGCCTCGTGCGTCCGCAGCGCCCGCGCCGCGCCCTGCAGCCACGCGCGCCAGTACCGCGCCGCCGCGCCGCCCGCGCCCCGCTCCGCGCCCCGCTCCACACCCCGCTCCACACCCCGCTCCACACCCCGCACCGCACGCAGCGTCTGCCACAGCACCAGACACATCGAGAGTCATTTAAAATTTAAAATATTGGAAATAATATCATAACAAAAAAACTTCTTCAGCTATTTGAGTGTGGTAAACTTAATTGAAGTTGAATTAAAAACATCGAATTCGACGGAGAAAAATACACTGATATATATATGACTCAATATCATCCTAGATGTCGCTTTAACCAGATAGCCTTTTACCCCTCGATATTATAACCCACACCGAATTTTGCTAATCAAATACTTTTAAATAAAATAGGCTTATCTAAAATTTGTGTGCATTTAAAGGAACTAATGAACAAACAGACATAAATTGGGGACCAGGGACATGAACAAGTACTACTATTCCAAATTTTTTTTTTGTTGTTTAGATGGGTGGACGAGCTCACAGCCCACCTGGTGTTAAGTGGTTACTGGAGCCCATAGACATCCACAACGTAAATGCGCCACCCACCTTGAGATATAAGTTCTAAGGTCTCAAGAATAGTTACAACGGCTGCCCCACCCTTCAAACTGAAACGCATTACTGCTTCACGGCAGAAATAGGCAGGATGGTGGTACCCACCCGCGCGGACTCACAAGAAGTCCTACCACCAAATGTCTACATATCACACTAAGAGCACCGCTCACCTGCATCTGTATGAACATCTCCTGAATGGGTGTGACTGTGTTCGTCTCGAGTTGATTTAAATACTTTAACTTGGCTACGACCAATTCTTCTAAATCGTCAACATCATCTTCCTGCTTCTCTTCATTAAGAGTTTCACCTTTTGTGAAAGTCAAACCATTCCCATATGAAATGGTGGTTTTGGGACAGTCATCCTCCATTGGTTCTTGTGTGAAGCCGAGTCCGGTTCTTTCACTAGAAAAACCTTCAATGAACTGTGAATATTTCGTGGTATATGAAGGTGTTTCGGTTTTACTTCGATCAGGCAACACAGAGTTTGATATTCGAAGCTTTTTCCTTACAACCTCTTTGGTCTCACTTAAATCACTTAAATATATATTTGAACTTTTTTCTGGAGGAGATGCTGATCTTTCTGGTTTCTCGACTTCAGCATTGTTAGGTATATCTTTGTTGGAAACGTCATCATCAATGTTCTTCGCACTGGGGAATAAAGTTTTGTGTTCAGACAAGTCTCTGTGCGGGGAACTAGTTTGGCTTCCTGGTTTACTATTGCCTTCTTCAATAGTCTCAATTTTCTTAGTTTTGACTTTGGGTAGTTCTGTCTTTTCGATTTCACTAAGTAAATCATCTATACTGTCGTTTGGAGGATTGGTATTATCTATGGCTTCTTCGTGTTTGTCTTCAATGATTTCTTGAAGTTCAGGAGGTATGTCGCCTCCCAACTTCTCCAATATCTTGGCTTTGTCTTTCAACTTTTTCAATAAATCACTTTCTTCTTGTTTGTCTCCTGTTTTTGTTGCAAGTTTTTCCTGGAGAATTTTAACTTACTTTAAGTTCATTGTCATTAGTGATTTTTAAGTTCGAAATTCATTGATATCATCAGATTGAAAACTTAGACTTCATAAAGTTTCATACATGTTCAGTTTTGTTGAAAATTTATATTTTATAGCAACACTAATGAAAAGATAATCAAAAGTTTACGAGTTATTACATTAATTTTAGAATAAATTTGTTGAAAATTTACTGACATATTTTACATGTAAATAAAACAAGAAAAACTATCAGAGTGACCATAAAAAAAATAATTAGGCAAAATATTTTATAAATTTCCAACGCAATAGAACAGTTGTAACTTTTATCAGGCGCAGAATTTCATCATTTAAATGAATGGTAAGTAATTTCAAGTATTTTTGACACAAAGATGTTTTACTTAATATTTTTTGCACAGAAACATTCTACTCAAAGCGGGATTGGAAATAATGAGAATTCCCACCTGCATGGACAACAGGTCGATTTGCAGATACCAACTTGATATCAAGGTAGAAATGAGATATTTGCTAAATAAATAAAGGGTTGGCAATTTTTTAACAACTAAGAGCAGTATAATATCAATACTTTGAAAATAAATAAATCTATTTCAGCTCTATGGTTGAGTTAAACTTTTATAACATATGTATGTATTCAACAACCTCTAAAATTATATGGTAACCGAACTTTGTAGAATGTTTCTTACAAGTTACTACAATATTGAAAGAGGTACAATGCAGAAACTCTGGGAGATTATACATTTTTTATTCTTACCTCCTCTCCTGTTGACCTACTCCCCTCTTTGACTTTGGGACTACCAGTAATCACATAGTCGGTAGGCATTTCTGGGCCTATTGGCACAGTATAATTCTGTTTTGGAGGTAAGCTTGGTCCGTATTCAATTGGTGGCTCTTTTTCTTTCATTTTAGGCTTCTTAGCTGGCACTTTTGGTTTCAATGTTGGCTTTGGTGGTGGAGGAGCTTTGACAGGACTTTCAGATTCATCATTGGATTCAGAATCAGAATGATAGTACGAAGTTATAAGTTCTATTTTCCTGTGAAGTAAATGAACTATTAAGATAGCATGTGCAAAGATATTATCCCTAATTCAATTGATATATTAATGGATGCTTAAACTTGACAATGTCATAAAATTGATGACCTCAACAATCGATTGAACTCAACAATGATTGATTGAACTCAACAATAAAAAAATAGGTATGTAGATTTTAATAAATAGTCCCTATTGAAATTGTATGTCACTCCTTTTTCACTGTGAATGTTCTTTCTGTCATTGTTAATCTAAAAGAGATCACTCACAGATCACTGAAAACATTATGTTAGTCAAGTTGGTACTTCTGGCAGTGTGTTCTTTTACATTATCAACTTGTTATATATTGTGGGCAATAAATTGTAATTAATGAACAACTTTTCAACACAAACAGGTACATAACGGCATACAGAACATGCTGTCATGTATATTTTAGTTACAAATTGGTCACAGCTCCATATAAAAACTAGATGCTACTGAACTAAAATTCATAAAGAATACTCACTCATCCTCATCACTAATTCTTCTCTTATATCCCGATTTATTCTTTACATTTAATTTTTTCTTTACATTATCATTTGTTGTTCCTATCGCAGGGGGCTGAGTTTGTGATTTAGTCTGTTGTTCCGCCAATACTTGCTGGTACATTTGCCATTCTGCTGCTGATACTTGCGATGAACCTAGAGTATTAAACATGTTTTTTTTTTCATGTCTTCATGGCTTAACTTTTTATTTGTCACTACCATGTATGTAACTTGAAGACCAAATAAATTCAGAAAGTATGCTGCATGAACGTCAGTGCAGTGTGTGATTAAAGAGATCTTAGAAATATATGGGTTTCTATAGGAACTAGCTTTCAATTTTCAGTTGAATGTAACATTCAACAAATAATGATTTAAGATGTTATGTATTTCTGTAAATATTTCCTTTTTTTTATTGCTTATTTGGATGGACGAGCTCACGGCCCACCTAGTGTTAAGTGGTTACTGGAGCCTACAACGTAAATGTCGCCACCAACCTTGATATATGAGTTCTAAGGTCTCGAGTATAGTTACAACGGCTACCCCACCCTTCAAACCAAAACGCATTACTGCTTTACAGCTGAAATAGGCAGAGTGATGTTACTTACTCGTGCGGACTCACAAGAGGTCCTACCACCAGTAAAATGAGATTCTGTAAGAATTAAATTTTTTGATTCGAAGTTTCTGTATGGGTATCTATAAGAACAACTTTCAATTTTCCGTTGGAAGAATGTAACACTCAACAAATAACAATTCGAGATGTTACTTATGTATTTCTGTAAGTATTTCATTACAAACCTCCCATGTTCAACTGTTGTTGAGCAATCTTCAAAGCCAATAAGTACTCTGGAGGTGCTTCCCAAGTAACCGCATTAGTCTGGTGGTTCCAGTAGTATGTAAAGCCACTGGCTTCATCATAGCACGCTGACCATGCTGAAGGGTATAATAAATCATACATTAAAGAAACTAGTAAAATGAATAAATACAAACCATAATTATGTATTCTTAATTACATCTTCAAGGAGGAAGACTATAATGATGAGTAATTTACAATTGTTACTTATTAAAATTCCTATTACCATATTAATAGAGTACTAAGAAATTGCTTTTTTTATTTTTTTATTCAATATTATTTTAAATTACTTATATTAATTAGATTTAAAAAATCAAAACTATATATGAGTCGACTATTATCAAAGGCGGCAATCTGACTTTTGGACAATGATTGGTAAATCAGAAAAACGAATTATTGACTTTGTATTCCATCGGCAGTCACAAAACTCTTCGGAACGACATCTTAGATAAATAACATGTTAACTATTAACCTTTATTTAATGCAGTTTTTGAACCGTATTCTTTGAAGGAGACGATTATATTCAAATCAATCTGTATTGACATATCAATAAAATTTTTTTGTCCAAATGCACAGATTGCCACCTTTGATAATAGACGACTCATATATACTACCAATTACCAATTAAAAAACAAACCAATTACCAATTACACTACCAATTACCAATTAAAAAACAAAATGTAGTTTATCAAGCTCTATTCTTCCATTACTCATTTGTAACAAGAAATAGAGCATGATGATGATTTCCCATCTGCCAAATATTAATTATGCTAATCTATTAATATCAAACAAGATTTTACAGTACGCAGAGAATTTTTAACTAGTATCTGTCAAACAGAGAATATTCCCTAAAATAACTAGAGAATGAAACAGAAGAAAACACAACAGATGTTAAAAGCTTGCAAACAGTTTTCAGTATGAAGAGCGAGAGGTGGCAGCAGATTAAAATAGATTATTAAAAAAATTAGACAATTCAAATCCACTTAAAATGGCACAAGATCATTGAAATCAAATAGACTAAAAAATATCTTGTACATACAGTTCAATAGTTAAGGCTTAGATTAACAATTCCATTTGGAATGTGAATATAAGATGTGGTGGTGGCTGTAACTCTCAAAATAAAAATTATAACACAAAAACATGGCAAGAACTCAGAAGAAAAACTGAAAACATATTAACGTGTACACATTCAATCTACTACATGTGCCAGGATGCTACACCAAGGAAACGATATTCAATTATAATCGTTTAACAATCTATATGATGATAATCTCAATATAATAATATCTTACTATTAGATTAAAAACAAATATTTTCCTCTTAGCTTTTTTTTACAGGTAAAATATAAGGCATAGCAATTAAAAACTTACGACAATGTGATATCGGGGCTCTGTGGATTCCGGAGCGGGCTGCTTCCGACGGTTGAGTTTTTAATGGGGCTTTAACTCCAGGAGGAATCACAGCTACCGATTGCATTGACGTATCATCACCTTCTTCTTCAGAATCATCATAATTCCCGATCAAGCCGGCCAAAGGGTTTATTTTACTCATTACTAAGTTTTGCAGATAAGATTAAACAATTTATTTTGTTTTTTAATCTAAGTTATCAAATTTTACGGTCATAACCACGTTTTGAACGATTTGTGTCAATTTTTTATTTAATTTGTCATTACATTAGCCAATGAGTAGGGATGCGTCGACCATTTAAGACTGAATAATCGATTCTTCGACTTTTATCAACAAATATCGATTCTCAAATCGATACTAACCTATGAATCAAGGGTGGAAATTTATGGTTTTACTGTTTTAGTGTTTTGATAGCTTCTTGCTTGATAGCTTGATAGATCCTTCTAATCATTCTCAGCGCTCAGTACTACAAATACTCACGCTACCAGTAATCAAAGCACAGGTTAATGTCCTTATAGAATTAATAGAACGTGAGACCTAAGGTCAAAACATGAGCCTTCTAAGATTATCTAATATGGAAGTGACAGTGTGAACTTTAACTGCAATTGTATGGCGGAATCGTGAGCAGTGAAGCAATGAATTGTTTTAATTTGTTAATTTAGTGATTCTGCAGGCATAGACTTTTAATAACAGTGCTTTAGTAACTTCTTAATATTTATGAAAGTGCATAAATAAGGGAAAAAGAAACAGTCGCCGATCGTGACTTTTCAGGTTTTTCCAAAAAGTCCACTAAAGTCTTTGTAAATAACAACCATTTTACGGATAATTTATTTCATTTTATGTCGTCTCAATTCATTTACATTGCATCCTAATTGACAATTTCAAATAGATCAACTTCACCTCATTTCATCCATATAATCTTTCACTTATTAAATTATTTTTCACAAAAAGAATATGTACAAAGCTTTATGTAACACTACTAAATTTTGACAGACTACATTCTTTCAAGTGTCACTGTCATTAACATTAACCTGTACGGTACGGTCACATGAAAATCAGACTTATAACTCGTCAATTTAAGCCAAAGACTTGGGCTATTGAGAATGCGTCTGGAGATACTGTCACTGAGATCAAAAAGATTGTTAGCGCTTGGAAAGACTATTGCAAGTCTCTGTTTACTGACACCACAACAAAGATCTCAATGACCTACAGTGAACCCTCGGAACTGGAGCCGATGCCTTTAAAGGACGAGGTGCGAGCAGCTATCAACCACCTCAAACGAAATAAGGCTGTAGGTTTTGATGAAATCCCCATCGAAACAATAAAAGCCATGGGGGAAATCGGAGTGGATATACTGCACATCATCTGTTGTCGAATTTGGGTCACTGGAGTTTGGCCGAGCGATTGGTCACATTCGATATTCATTCCACTTCACAAAAAGGGATCAACGAAGAAGTGCAATAACTACAGACTAATTTATCTCGTATCCCACGCCAGTAAAGTCATGCTGCACATAATTAACACGAGGCTCCAAGGTTACTTGTCCCGAGAGATCGCCCCCGAGCAAGCAGGTTTTGTAAAAGGTCGAGGCACAAGAGAGCAACTACTCGTAATGCGGCAAATTGTAGAAAAGACCAGAGAATTTAATATTAGCCTATATGTGTGCTTCGTGGATTTCCGAAAGGCTTTTGATACCGTCAAGTGGTGGAAGCTGTGGTTGGTACTGACGGAAATGGGTGTACCGCAACATCTTGTACACACCATCAGACGTCTGTACGAAGATGGCACGGCCGCTGTTCGTGTTGACAGTATTGACTCCGAACGCTTCAGCACACAGGCAGGCGTTAGGCAGGGCTGCATACTATCTCCTCTTTTATTTAATATATACACAGAGTATATAATGCGGATAGTTCTTGAAGATTGGGATAAAGGAATATCCGTTGGTGGTCGGAAAATATCAAACTTGAGATACGCCGATGATACTACCCTCTTGGCGTCAACCAGAGACGAAATCGAGGTGCTTCTTCGCCGGCTGGAGACTACAGCGTTGGATTTTGGACTTGCGATCAATCGTGATAAGACCAAAATGATGATCGTAGATCGTGCTAACATCAACCAACCGGAAGTCCAACATATAGCGGGATGCGAGGTAGTTAATAGCTATGTATATCTAGGCTCCACTATCACCAACGCTGGAGGCTGCGAAGATGAGATCCGAAGACGTTGCGCCGTGACAAGATCCTCAGTTGAGAGGCTAACAAAGATTTGGAGAGACCGCAGAATAACCAAAAATACAAAAGTTCGGTTAATGAGATGCCTGGTCTTTCCAATCTTTCTGTATGGGGCTGAGACGTGGACGCTGAGGATGCAAGACCGTCGTAAGATCGACGCACTAGAAATGTGGTGTTGGAGACGTCTCCTCAGAATTCCGTGGACCGCGCACCGTACCAACATTTCGATCCTGAAAGAGCTCAACATCAAGGAGAGACTATCGTCAACAGTCCAATTACGAATCCTCAAATTCTTCGGGCACATCACTCGTAATGAGGACTCCATTGAGCGGTTGGTGGTGCAAGGGAAAGTCGAGGGCAAAAGATCTCGCGGACGATCTCCAACACGATGGACCGACCTCATAAAATCTGTTACTCACTCCAACATAAATGTTTGCTCTCACTCTGCGAAACATCGTGCCACATGGCGTCGCATCGCGAGAGCATCGGTATCGCAGGATCCGACTGATGCATGACCACGACCACTCTGTCAAGAGTGTACGAATAGGAAATAAGTACGGTACCTACCGTACATATTCCATGATAAATTGAATTATGTAGATTTTGGTGCCTTACCGCATAGCTACCTAGATGGGTACGGTACTTATTTTCAAACGTTCAGAAATATTAAAAATGTGTTATTTTATCCTTTAGGGCATATTATGACAGAACTGGCAACTTCTAATGGCTCCTCTTCACAATCGGCCATGATGGGCAGCAAATGATTGTCTGGTGGTAGGACCTCTTGTGAGTCCGCACGGGTAGGTACCACCACCCTGCCTATTTCTGCCGTGAAGCAGTAATAAGTTTCGGTTTGAAGGGTGGGGCAGCCATTATAACCATACTAAGACCATAAAACTTATATATCAAGGTGGGTGGCGCACTTACGTCGTAGATGTCTATGGGCTCCACTAACCATATAACACCAAGTGGGCTGTGAGCTCGTCCACAAATCAGCAATAAAAAAAATTTAAAAAATTGTATCATAATGACAGTAGGTGACATTTCCAAAGAAAAGCTAACTACACCATGAGGGACGACCCGCGATCAACCGTGGAACCGCGGAAATCTAAACTTGGAGTAAAATATAATTAATAAGAAAAAAAAAACTTCTAAAGTTAACATTTTATTCGTATAAAAATATAATTATAGTAATAACATATAAAATATTAAATTATTATTAACGACAAATTAGCTTCTAAATAAATCTATTTAGTAAATTATCACACAAAGTTGAAAGTTAGACTGCATTGAACAAAGGAACACCTCAGAATGTCTGATACATTGATTTTTGAGACATGAAACCCAATGTTTGCTTAACATGTATCCACGCGTGTAGAATTTTCTTTTACTTCCAATGAAAGCTAGAGAGAGTTATGTGATATTTGTCCGGTATTCGTATTATTCACTCTGCATCGTAACGTGTCTTATATTTTGGGTCAATATCGAATATATTAATTACATTTAACTTTTATAGAATCATATTGTATCAATTTCAATGTATGGGTTCTAAAATACCCAAAGTCGACTGTTGTGACAAGTTTCTTTTATATTTATTATATCTGCTATTATACTGCTTTAGAAATACATAATTACTTACTAATGCACAAACTATGACATTAACTCTAGTTAGAATCGCCTGCTAATACTCTAAGTACTTCATATTTTATAATAAATGAAATATCTATGGCTATATTAATCGTTTACTTTAAAAAACGGCGGTGTTCCGTATCACGATGGCAACGCTATAAAATTATTAAAGGTATTGGTTTTATAGTGCCTAAGTATTACATTTTATAATAATAACTGTATGTCTGCAAACTTTTTGCTTTGAAAGTTATTTAAAAAAAAAAATTTACTCGCTCTTTGCAATTCGCTTTTTTATTTAATTCTTACAGTGATTGTTTATAAGATGTTTTACAAAAGTTTATAAGTATGGAAAATTTAAAAGTGGAAAAGTGAAAAAAAAACCTGGAAATGCCTTTTAAAGTTTGTTTTTTCAGTTTTATAAAATTACATTATTTTACTGAACAGTTTTATTTCTGTTGTTTAAGGTCTCAGTTTTAAAACATTGCAAGCAATATATGTAGGTTTGAACAACGAAGAGAAGATTGTTTATCAAACAAGAGCTGGCTGTAGGTTTGTCCAAAACGACAAACTAAACAAAAAATGCTCTCTTAAGCCTTGTTCGGACTAGAAGAGTATTTTAGTCGAATACCGAGTAATTTAGTAGATAAATGTGTCTGAACACCAAAAATTTAGTCGAGTGGACTTGTAAATAATTTAGTCAAGTCAATCCATTTTGTTCTATTTTTTTCGGGCGAGTAGCGCCTCCCACCACGCGTCCTTGCTCACTGGCTCACTGACTAAACAAGTCCGAGCCTGTTGATTAGTCGAGTTCATTAATGGCACTTCTCAAATGGGTATATTTGCGCTGAATTTGAGTGCGTATTTTCGTTAACAGAAAATTCACACAACTTTCGGACATTCTCAAACTATCGAAGTATTCTTTAGGATCTCTTCCAATGCTAATTCCTTCAAAAGACATTTAGTAGCTCCTAGTTTATCTTTTCTATCGATCCATTTTCGTACCCATAACTTATTTTTCTTAATCACAGAATTTTCCTCATTCACCTCTTCTAAAATAGCCATTCCTATTAGCTTAATCAGTTTATCCACTCTATTGCGTTGCGGCCTGTTCATCTTGCAAAACACCACTCACTTGTGTACTCTACTGGACCGTAATGCGAACGATTTCTGTGCAGTAGCGAGTAGTTTAGCCTCGAAATTACTCGGTACTCGATTATAATACTCGCCTAGTCCGAACAAGGCTTTATAATTTATGTCATTCCATTATTTTTAAATTTGTAACAAAAAAATCCATTGATGACAGAAATGTTGAATACATATTTAATTTTGTTATTATATTCATTATATAAAATTCCTTAAAACATACTTAAATTTATTTTAGACTAATAAAATATTGTTATGGTTACCGTTTGACAATACATGGCTCACACGACCCTGGCTTAAGATAGGCAGGATGGCATTGTGGACATTTTGGGTTCTCACCGTAGCTTGACCTTCCTGGTCTGGACACCTGCACCTGGAACGAGGTCTGCGCATCATCAGACTCATACCCTGGGTGAGGACCATCCAAAGGGAATACATAATCAGGAACATAATACGAACTGATGTTGTACTCCACATTTCTAGGCTTAGGGGTGGCATCCTCAGCTTTGATGGTAGTCCTCCTTGCAGTACTGAAAGGACTTTTACCGGTTTTGGGAGATTTAGTAGGTAGCGCTGTCGAATTCGTGATATTACCTTCCTTTGGAGGGAGTAAACCGAATGCGGGAACTGCCCATTTCCATTCATAGTAAATCGGCGGTCCCATTGTAGTCGAGTCCAGTGGAGATTGAGAGTAATCCTTTTTCGGTGGAAGCAACACCTGTTCCGGCTTAGGAACCTTGCTCTTGACTCCAGAATCTCCTTCGGTGTTATTCTCTGTTGGATTAGGTTTCGTATTAACACTGTCAAACCTAGTTCCTTCCCTAAACTTTTTGTCATTATCTGTTTTGAAATCGTTCAGCTTGTTACCGAAGCTTTTGTTCTTTTTTGGCGTACGTTCGTCTTCGGAACTGACCTGGCCTTCCGAACTCACTTGGCCTTCGGGTAAATGTTTGTTCAGATCAATGATCTCAGACTGTGTGATTGCTGTTTTGATAGAATCAGGGGAATTAGGATCGAAGCGCTTTATGAATTGGTAAACGGAGCTCTGAGTTGTAGTCGCATCGTCTTCGGCTTCAGTAGTAGAAGGCAGCAGTGGAGGCATTAATTCGCGTTCTGGTTGATTTCCTTTATTTTTTAGCGAAGTGTCTCTACTTTCTGGTTGTGGTCGAATAGTTGGACCCGGTTCTTGCGAAGCGGCACCAGCGAGACTGTCAATGTTGTTGATCTGGACATTGGGTCTTCGTTTTCGGGTCGACCAGGACGTAGGTGGTCTGTAGTTCTGCTTCGCGCTGTCGAGGATGTTGTCTTCGTCGCCCGATATGGTGTCCGCAACGCCAACAATGTCGTTGTCAGGGTGCAATAGGAACTGCAATACCAGAATAGTTATTCATTGTAAAATATATTAATACTAGGGTTTTGCCCGCGACTTTTTCGCGAATTTATAATACTTAGAAGGTGAAATTTTTTTTTTAATAATAGAATGTTAAGGACCCATTTAAGGTACCAAAATCACGCTTTTTAAACGACTTCAAAAGAAGGGATTATCAATTTGACCACAATTTTTTTTAGTCATTTATGTTCACCGATTACTCGAGAAAGCTTAAACCAATTCTGATAATTGTTTTTTCAGTGGTTTTGTTCGTTGGATCCGTGGGATCCTGGAGAAATCGAGAAAAATCTACAATTTTCAAAGCCTATCTTGATTTGAGTGTTTCTTGTTATTCTGTGGCGCCGCGCACCGGCCGGCTGGCGCCTTGTAGGTACATTATTATTACGCGCTTGATCATTAATATGGTTTTTTTTTATTGCTTAGATGGGTGGACGAGCTCACAGCCCACCTGATATTAAGTGGTTACTGGAGCCCATAGACATCTACAACGTAAATGCGCCACCCACCTTGAGATATAAGTTCTAAGGTCTCAGTATAATTACAACGGCTGCCCCACCCTTCAAACCGAAACCCATTACTGCTTCACGGCAGAAATAGGCGGGGCGGTGGTACCTACCCGTGCGGACTCACAAGAGGTCCTACCACCAGTAAATGCGATGTTATTTTAAAACTGCGATATGTTTTAGAATACTTATTGAAATGAAATGATATCAAGAAGTTCTTTTAAATTAAATACTTGTAATGAATAACGTATTTATTTGGATATGAATAAATATCTTCTTTACAAAAACAACTTCACAAATAATGCTTTATTTTAGAACAAATTTGGTTAGCCTAAAAAACGTTATAGTGAACCAACCTTAACATAGACTTTATAACATGCTCTTTTTTTATTTTTTTATTGCTTAGATGGGTGGACGAGCTCACAGCCCACCTGGTGTTAAGTGGTTACTGGATCCCATAGACATCTACAACGTAGACGCGCCACCCACCTCGAGATACAAGTTGCAAGGTCTCAGTATAGTTACAACGGCTGCCCCACCCTTCAAACCGAAACGCATCACTGCTTCACGGCAGAAATAGGCAGGGCGGTGGTACCCACCCGCGCGGACTCACAAGTGGTCCTACCACCAGTAATTACGCAAATTATAATTTTGCGGGTTTGATTTTTATTACACGACGTTATTCCTTCACCGTGGAAGTCAACCGTGAACAATTGTTAAGTATTTCATTTGAAAAATTGGTACCTGCCTGCGGGATTCGAACACCGTTGCATCGCTATATACAAATGCACCGGACGTCTTATCCTTTAGGCCACGACGACTTCAAGCTACCACTTTTTTGTTAGAACTTTTAAAGGGGAACAATTCTGTCAAATATTAATTTAGCGAAGCTAACCGTTTCCGCAGCGCAGGCAGCGGAAGCTCTCAAAAGTGAAAAAAAACAGATTTTGAAACATTGTTTATTAGTGCTCCCATTGAATTAGTCTTACCGTGATGTTATATAGCCTATAGCCTTACTCATTAAATGGGCTATCTAACACTGAAATAATTTTTCAAATCGGATCCGTAGTTCCTGAGATTAGCGCGTTTAACCAAACAAACAAACTCTTCAGTTTTATAATATTACTTTAAATAGTATAGATTGCGATATGTGTGTGTGTGTTTTAGTGCAAATATTTTCGTCTAGGTACTCATACAGCCTTTCAAGCTTTCGATAAATTTTAATAAATTGATTAGGCATTATTATAATAATATTAAGTATAAATTATATTATAGTTACTTTCATACTGATACCTTTGATTCTGCTTCTTTTAATCCATCGTAATATTTACTGGTGAGTGGTACGGAGAGTATGTCGGGTCTGGGAGTACGTTGGCTCATCTCTTCGTCTGAGACAAATGGTTTGTCGCGTTGGCCTAGAAAAAAATTTATAGCACCTTAAAATTTATGAGCGAATTTTTTATTTAATTGGTTGACAGAAACAACAACAACAACAAAATATTTGGTTATATCAATCAATCTCAAAATATAAACGACAAACATTTCATTTATGGGCCTGTACTAAATAATGACCAACTAAGGTTCATAAATTACCGTTTGGGCTGTATGATGGCGTCTAAAATATCACCACTCTATTTCTTTCAGTAACTAAGGTAGGTACGTTTCCAACTAGCAAAGGGAAATTGCACAGCCTCACCATATAACGAACAGTAGCAGACTTGCTTGTAGACTAGACACATTGTTAGGACACACTGTTTTCATTAGATTTAATACAATAACTAATTGTAAAAGTTGATTGAACCTCTTTAATGTGCCTTCAAAGATGAAAGATATGTGCAGAACTATAAGTCATTCTCTCGCAAGCTAAATCCTATAGATACATTTGTTATTATTTTTATTGTCGCTTTTCATGTGTCTTTCCTGTTTCATCCAGTTTCAAATCACAATGATACTAAAAATGTTTATTACTTCAAAATGATTCCCACAAAATGTAATTTTCGCCCAAAACATAAAAATTAAGACCGTTCTAATGTTTCAATGCATTTATAAGCCTGATTAGTTCCATTTAACGATTATGTTTTCGTGCATCTTACAGGTTTCCAGCTTCACTGCTTCCTTAACTAATTCGTAACATGTTATGTCGACAGCATCGTTGTTTTCCATTTCGGATAATAACAGGGCAACAAAAGGTTTTACCAAGAATGAAGATCGTGTTTTTATGGGCAATTTATTGTATTGTGTAACAGCTGTACCATCCTTCAAATCAGAACCCATAAGTGCTTAGCCATCGAAAACAGGCAGAGAGGTGTTGCGATAGAGAAGAAGACGAAATAACTTATGATTTAAAATATTAATAATTAAAAATTGCTAAATACTGATTGAATGTTTCAAAGATAACTTATAACGACTTTTTGAAATGAAATTTCTTTAGGCGCATTGAGAAAAAATTTAATTCGCGTCAGATTCGTTACGGGTAGAGAGGAAGATACAATTTAGGAATAGCGAGAGAGAAAATAGACAGAGCGAACCACTCGACCATGGAGAGAGGGAAAGGACAAAGCTTTCTTTTCCCTACCTATGCTGATAACCTGTAGAGGCTATATCAGCTTCTCCTTGACGCGTAGGCTTACGGGGCTCTAACTGGCGTTGCTAACATTGGCCCTAGCAAGTGCAGTGCTTCGTAGAATCTACCACCGGATCGGAAACGCGACCCACTGAGAAGATCCGGCCAGAAACTCAGTGGGTTGTGTCTGTGGGTTAAATCACTCGTGGAGCCCTTCGTCGCAAGCGACGGGTTCGACGAGGATGGTGACCGAAAGGACAAAGCGAGCTAGGTCGTTTCTCTTATACAAAGCATTCCATATCACATGAGAAATTTGATTTAAGGATGAAAACTGAAGAAAACCAAAATACTACACACCGTCAAAGAAGTGAAACTTCACTTCTTTCACGTAAACTAAGCTGCACGTGCACCATTTTTTAAATTCTTTTTTGTTGCTAATTCACAACGCTTCATAATATTGTGGTTCATCGTAACAGGGTCAGACCCATCTTCACTTCCTAATATACTACCGGTAATTAACAACGCATTGTGCATGCGTTTAATTTGTTTTATTTGTACAACGTTTCCTGGTTCGAGGCTGGTGGAGGCTGTGCGTTTCTAGATAATTATTGATGTAACAAATTGTTGAGAACGTACAAAAAAGCGTTGTACCTAATCGTTATTTTACAGTCGCAGTTTCGTTGTGTTTTAAGCGGAAGCTATTTAGTTCACTTAAACAGCTCGTCGATTCGTGTTTGATCTAAAGTATGTTAGGCCGATGCGCTTTTTAAGTCCCGGTGCTAGAATTGCCCTACGAGTAAGGCACGAGACAATGCGGAAAACCGTAATGGCGCCACAAGCCCCATTTTGACTTTTGATGGTTACGACAAAGCCAAGATCTTTCACCGCGCAAGGGAATTTTCTCGACAGACCGACGGCACAAATGTTGTTCGGGATTTTTATATGTGCAAGTTTAATAACGTAGACATCTACAACGTAAATGCTGTCTCCCGCCTTGAGACATGAGTTCTAAGATCTCACTTTTAACAGTACAACGGTTGCCTCGCCGTTCAAACCGAAACGCATTACTGCTTTACTGCAGAAATAGGCAGGGTGGTGGTAACTACCCTTGCTGACTCACAAGTTGTCCTACCAGCAGTAATTACGCAAATTATAATTTTGCGGTTTCTATTTTTATTACACGATGTTATTCCTTCACCGTGGGAGTCAACCGTGAGCATTTGTTAAGTAAGTATTTCATTTAAAAAAATTGGAACCTGCCGGCGGGATTCGAACACCGGTTCCTCGCTACATACAAATACACCGGACGTCTTATTCTTTAGGCCACGGCAAAATGTTGTTCGCGACTTGTAGATATGCAAGCTTCACTGGAAAATGTCGTTAGCGAAATTAAAGCACCTGTCACAAATGTCTTGTGTTCGATGATAGCACCCGCCACAGACTATCCGTTGCATCTATACAGTTTACATAACAGACACACTTGAGTGTCCACAGCAAGAATGAAGATCGGATTTTACTTACCAATCAACAGATTAGCGTCATAATCCCTTTCAGCCATGGAGCAGTTGACCATGTACCAGTGGTCGCAAACCAGCATTCTCTGCTGAAATAGGGTGGTCTTTGGACAGGAGTAGCTGAAGCGCCGACCCAGGCCGTCACACATGTGGTAAACCTGGAATACATGAGGAAATTTTACAAACGGGTCGTGTAAAAGATTCTTTAACATTTAAATTTTGTAATGCTTAATGCGACAAATACAATCGATTCTATATATTATTATATAAAAATGAATTGCTGTTCGTTAGTCTCGCTAAAACTCGAGAACGGCTGGACCGATTTGGCTAATTTTGGTCTTGAATTATTCGTGGGAGTCCAGAGAATGTTATGTAAAAGGTAGATAAATATGAAAATGCTCGAAATTAAATAAAAATAACAATTTTCTTTTCCCTTTGATGTGTCCCCCGTCGGACGGATTCCTTTTGTTTGTTTTAAGTTTATTTTATACCGAAGTTTAGGTCTTCTATTTATCGATTGAGGCACTACGAAGTATGCCGGGTCAGCTAGTTTACAATAAAATGTTATTTTGTTTAATAATCTTGGGTAAAAAACCATCACCATAATAATTAACGCCGCGGAATAATTATGATCTCTATGGATCAGGACTTAGTGGATCTTCTGCTTCAACTCCGTTATTCTGAGAAACCAACTTTAACAGGTGTTTCGATAGTCGTTGCTTCTATTCTAAACCAGAAAACGCTCAAGTAGCATCTTCTTTATCAACCGATTTAATCTAGTATCTAAGACTAAAGTACTAATAAAACAAATTTTAATGAAGACGTTTTTTTTTAATTTCAATAACGTAACAAAAATATTTACTATATAAACTGACTCTTAAAGCTAAGGTCGAATATCGATCATTACAAAACGGTAAATAAATTACAAGTTCTTAAAACAACTCTTGCAGAAGTCTCATCACATTTTGAATAGCCTGTTTTGATAGGAAACGATTCTAGCAAGTACGTACTAATTAACATAAAATTAACACTGTTGTAACAAAAGTGATGTGCTACTGACGTTCATAATATAATTAATAGCAATTATCGTGCATGTTTTCGTTACACAAGATGGATGGACTTGTCAAAGGTCGCTGGACCATACTGAACGCAAGGCCGCTTATTTTTAATGTGGCTAGAATGCAAAAAGTAAATCTTTTAGGAGACTGTTTTTTTTTCTTTTTATTATCCTTGTAGGCAGACGAGCATACGGCCCACGTGATGGTGAGTGTCGCCCATGGACTTCAGCAATGCCAGGGGCAGACCCAAGCCGCTGCCTACCGCAAGCTTTTTCTTTAAAACATTAAAACTATACTTTGTCTTTAAAACATGGTATACCGAAAAGATTAAAACTTAAATACATGTAGGATTAAAAAACCTATTAAGAAACGCTGTAATGCTTCCAATTAATTATTACCAAACAGATAGCACAATATGGAAATGAGGCTTGGACATGTCCTCTTATTATTACTGTTGGCATATTATATGTAGTGTTTTAATAGTTTATAATGAAAATCACTAGATCGCCGAGTTTATTTTACCGATTTATCTCATAGCTGGCTTGAACCGGCGGTAGTTGTCAGCGTTGACAACATTCAACAAGTATGATGATGTTTAAATTGACATAAATTTTACTCAAATCGATTTAACTTGTAATCGATTCGCTCCATCAGCTGCATTGGAAAAGGTATTCAACTTAAGTGGCTTACATATATAGTGCATTCGTAGAAGAGATAGAGATAGATAGAAAATCAGCTTTTCTGAAATTCACGATCAGAACGAGAAGTGTGAATACGCATTTTCTGGTCATATGTTACGCTTCCATATCTACAGTATCTAAAAAGTCCAGTTCATTGCCTAAAGAAAATCAGAATCCATTGGATTCGGATGCGATCTTATCCCAGTCTCCGGCTCCGTACTCTCACCGGGTCGTGAGATCTACAGTTTCTACAAGACAGTGCACTGGCAAAGTCGATCGTCGCTCACCACGTCAGGCAAATGATTCATTCAGCTCTTGAGAACCGGGTGTATACCGTCGACAGACTGCCAGTAAACTAAACGATCGGCCAGCCTCCTGGTACATCCTAATACATATTACAGGATTTGGCGTTTCACGGTTCGACACTCTGATGGTACGCAAAGTATGCGGTCATAATGAAAGGTCATAATAGTACAAAGGCATCTACTCATTAAACCAATTTGCGACCTCGCCGCGTTAACTCTGTCGCCTTTAATCCATGTTCTGCAAGTCAAGTAATTTATACGGATATAGTGTTCGCTCACGCGGCCCGTACATATATTAACTCTCTCCAGATCACCCAATCCCGTTTTTGCGAGATAGCCATCGGAGCACCGTGGTGTTTGAGGAATGTAGGTCTTCACGACGTGATTCAATTAGAATTGATACGTATATATCTAAAGATAGCGTCAGAACGCTTCAATCGAAAAACCGGCGCGACACGATTATCCCCTTATCATGGCGGCCTCGAATTATATAACTAATATAAATAATTATAAACTATAATGTCCTTAGAACATCTAATCGGATCCTCTCAATTTACACACAGGTGCTTTAAGGCTCTCGAAAAATCGGTCACCGTACTCCAATTACTCAGCTGGTCGCAATTCCGATCCGGTGGCAGATTCCGCACAGCACTGCTTTTCCGAGAGCTGGTGTTAGAAACTTCTCCCAAATAAAGCCCCGTGAGCGCACCTATCCGTCCGTGTGTAGTTGAATTAGCCCCATAGGCTAGCAACGTTAGGCAAGAGAAAAATACACAAAATACTCGATTACCATGCAGAGAGCGCGTCGCCCGCTCAGCTCACTCAAAATCATTTTTTTAGTTACATAAGGATTTTATATTTTATGGGTGTAATTTTAAGAAAACAGGCAAAGTAAGAGTAACCCCATTATCACGAAAAACTTGTAACTTATTTTTTTATCTAAAATTATCTCAGCATTACAAAATTAGGAATATCTATAATTGCTTTAAAATTAGCCTACACGTCAAATTATATTTACATTAACTCAAACTCAGTCCAAACGATTTACAATGACAAGTTGCAATTATATCTGACATTTGATGTAACAGCGCGTCATTTTGACAAGCAATGGTTGCGCAGTCGTGCTGCCATTATTGACGGTATAAACCTCAGTTTTCTGTGTTAGTATTACGTTGTCATTTAATTATGGTTAGATACGCTTCTGACTTTACTTTTACAAGTCGTCGTGGCCTAAAGGATAAGACGTCCAGTGCATTCATGCTGAGCATCGGTGTTCAAATTCCGCCGGCGGGTACCAATTTTTCTAATGGAATAACTACGTACTTAACATATGTTCACGATTGACTTCCAAATGCATTAATAAAAATTATAGATTATAATTTGCGTAATTACTGGTGGTAGGGCCTCATGCGAGTCCGCACGGGTAGGTACCACCATCCTGCCTATTTCTGCCGTGAAGCAGTAATGCGTTTCGGTTTGAAGGGTGGGGCAGCCGTTGTAACTATACTGATACCTTAGAACTCATATGTCAAGGGTGGGGCATTTACGTTATCGATGTCTATGGGCTCCGGTAACCACTTAACCACTTAACTATGCAATAAATAAATTAAAAAACTTCAATGGTTTTGCATACAACCTGTGGACAGATTAGAAAATGTGCATTGATTTTGTCTAGTTGAAATTTCAGAAATCATTCACATTTGCCATACTAACTAGAAACTCGAGATCTAAATGGATAAGGTCCTCCGACCTTACCCCCGAAACCATAACAATAAAGTTGATTGCACAATACATTTTATAAGCACCTACGTTGACTTCCATGAATCATAGCATTATAATGTACATGTTAGATACATTAAAATTTAAGGTCGAACGTAGTGATGTTCATAAATTTTTAAAAATACAATGCTTACAAATTGAAAGAGCTAAGTATAGTCACATAGATTCATTTCATGCAATCGTCATGTTTGGATTGTTGAATCCTTTATATTTCAATTAAATAAATAAAGAGACGCGAAAAATTTTAAATCGTTGCTCAGATTTGGCTTTCGTCATTAATAAGCAATTAAACTTAGCAAGCTCAAAACAGGATACATAACACAATGTTTTTAATTTTGTAATCTAGGGTCACGAGAGTTCATTGCTCATTCATTGCAGCGTGCTAATTTTATTGATATGGATGACAGTTGTGTTTGAACTAGTTTCTTGTTTACCAACGTATGTCAAACAAAGTCAGTTAATTTATTCAAACAATTCAAGCGTTTTTATTTTAAATGAATATAAGTATATTTAATATCGTGACTATGCCGGGGTCTATGTCTCTTATAAAGTAAAAAAAACTTTCAAGTAAATACGTACATTCTTTCACGATTAATGAAAAGCGTCAGAATCCTACTTCGACAATGCGGCGCGACGCGAAAACCCTCTTATCGTGGCCGCCGCTAATTACTTATCCGACTGCGACGGAGCAATGCGGATCCCCCGGATTCAGTCTCGGTGCTTTTAGATCCCTCAAGCACCGGTCACAGTCGAACTCGTCGATTACGACGAAGAGCGGGGCGAACGAATTAACCCATAGACACAGCCCACTGGTTTTCTCGCCGGTTCATTTCAGTGGGTCGCGGTTCCGATCCGGTAGTAGATTCTGCGAAGCACTGCCCTTGCTAGGGCTAGTGCTAGCAATTTCTCTGTAATTATTTATAACAAGCAGATACTAACCCCTTGCCTATTTCTGCCTACGCGAACATGTGTCAGATTTTGAAGAACGGGTCCAGTAATACAAGGTGAAATCTGAGCGAGTTAATCCACCCCTCTAGATGTAGTAGTAGGTATTTTTTTATCGAATAATATTTTAAATCGATAAAGCAATTCGTGACGCATCGCCTGTTGCATCACTATCAGTCAGTTAAACAGGTAGTCATTATGCACATATTAAATAAAAATCTAAATAAAATACACATGTTTTTTTACTCACGACTCGTAAAAACACGTTATTTGGGGAGTTACGATTAAAAAATATGATTTCGCGGTCTGCTTCACATTAAACTGTGTTTCTGTGGTTTACCGCTTTTTTTCTATAGGTTTAACATTGTAGTGTTAATCTAACATTAGTGTA